AACACTGGAGACCACTGACATTTAGGAGACTATTGAAAATAGAGAATTCAATTAACAATTGTCAATATAGTGGTCAACTCTAGCATGTATTTAGGAGAAGTCTAGCTAGAGAAAGAATTAAAATAGGCTTTTGGGTTTGCTTTTAGGAAAACATTTTACAATTTCAGTAAGAAAATTTTCAGTTAATTGATGTGGATGAACGTATGGGGGTGGAGAGTGAGTAAGAGTTGATGAAGTGAAGGCTACAAGTCCAGGCTGTTTTTCAAAAAGTTTGGTGAAGAATAGAACAAATCAAATTAGAAAGGAGCTTGAAGAAAGAAACAAGATAAGGGAGACTATTTTCGAAGGTGAGAGTTGAGTAGAATCATATAAGATGGCTGAATTTTTAAATGATTTTTGACTTGCAAAAATGGCAAACTCGTATAGATCAATATATATAAGAAAAAACAAAATCAACATCTAAGGAGGGAATGAAGATGCAGGAAACAGGACAGTTGTAAAGAATATCAATAGTCAATTCAACCTTCTATTCTTCTTGGAGACTATTACAAATTCTCTTCTCTCCTCTCAGTTCCAAAACATCCTTTCTATCTTCACTCTTGCTCCCTTCCTCAACGATCCAATTGAAGATTCCTGAGTGACTTTCCACAGACTTTCACCATTGAATTAACCCACCCATCAGCATCTATATCGGTGAATTCTACCCCTCCTTTTTATGAATGAACATGGTATCTCCTTGCTCTAATGAACAGCTAATCCCTCAAACCATGCATTAGATGTCAGTCCCTCTTGCCAACTCAATGGATTACTATATCCACTCTGGTATTCTATTTTTTGTTTTCACATAAACAATTGTCAAATCTATTAGCTATCTCAAACGTCACAAGTCCAAAATTGAACTAATCTTCCAACCCATACTTGTTCTACCTAATATTCTCCCTGTCTTAGTCAATGGAATAACTCAGTTTTTCCAGTTGCTCAGGCAAGGAATTGTGGAGTCATTCTTGACCTCTCTCTGTCTCATATCCAAAATTCAATCGCTCATAAAATTCAGCTAACTCTGCCTTTAACATATCTAGAATCCTACCACTTCTCAATGTTTTTATTGTTATCACTCTGGAATGAGATACCATAATTTACTGTCTATATTATTTAAATGGACTCCTATGTTATTAAAGCACTTCATTGATGTCTTTTTAAAAAACAAACAAAGAAACAAGAAATAAATCATGTCTCTCCTCCAGCTAGAACTGGTTTGGATTTCTCTCAGAATAAAAGTCTTAAAAGTCAAGATCACTTCTAGTTCCTAACAATCCCTGGGTGATCTCTTAACAAGTTTCCTCTCTGAACTCCTTTCCCAGAACTCTCCTCCTGGGTCACTATTTCCAGCAACTCTTGTCTTCCAGGCATTCCTCACAAATTTCAAGTGTGTTCCCATGACCACTTCTTCCAGCTTTTTGCTCAAATGTTACTTCCTCGATAGAGCCCCATGAAAAAGTATATTTAAAATTACTACAGCCAGCTAGCAATTATGGGCCCCTTTACCTTGGTTTGATTCCCCTTCTGTAACACTTATCACCTTCTAATATACTATATAATTTGCTTATTTATTATGTTTGTTGTTTATATTTGTCTCTACCCACTAGAATATGAGCTCCACAAAGATAGGGAATAATACCTATTTTGTTTATTGTTGTGTCCCGATCTTATTGGACTCTGCCAGACACATAGTAGGTGTTCAATGAATGTTTATTGAATGTTTTAGAGCATGTTGAACACAATGTCTAACTATTGTTATATGTGCTATAAACTGACATTTATCTTTCTGTGAGAACATTCCCTATCTTATTCATTTTTGAACTTTGTGAGTCAATATGAGTTCCTTAAGACATGAACTGATATTTTATATCTCTAAATCTAAAACCCATGACATTATGCCTGGGAAGAAGTAAGCCATTAATTAAAGGTTGCCTGAATAAATAAATTGCTAATTGGAATTAGATTTGGTTCTCGCCCCAGGACATTGAAGTGAAACAAATCCTCAAATAGGTTGAATTTGAGGGCATGATATCAGATAGGATTCTAATTCTTATTTTCCTAGTTTAAGCCATTAATTAAAGGTTGCCTGAATAAATAAATTGCTAATTGGAATTAGATTTGGTTCTCACCCCAGGACATTGAAGTGAAACAAATCCTCAAATAGGTTGAATTTGAGGGCATGATATCAGATAGGATTCTAATTCTTATTTTCCTAGTTGGTGCTGGAATTTGAGAGTAATAAATTTTATTTCAGTATAATGATTTTAATTGACTCATGTGGGTATTGAACTATTAAATAACAGCAAAAATATCCAACACTTGGTGGTCTATTTCAAGAATCACAGCTAATCAAGACTCACAGAAAACTAAAAGTAAAGGGAAATACACAGGATCACGGAAATTTATATTCAGGGTCAAAGGAGGGCAAAATGTAAAACTCCCAGTTTTTAGAACTAACTAGTTTAAGATTATTTAGTTTTTATGTCAGTTCATACAATGAGAATTCTAACGCATTATCAAGAAAGTTGCCAGACATCTTCCCATTTGTAAGTATTTGTCTTTTTTTTTCTTTACTTTAAAAAATTTTATTAACAAATTAAAAAGTCAGACACATAAATTCTGGGGAAAGAATAATTAGTAACACTATCTCTTTAAGGTAACAGGTTGTAGAGCTTCTCAAAGTGGCTTCTAGAGTTTCAATCTTGGTATCACACAGAGAAAGCACTTGGAAGATTTCTTCATGGAATGATATGAATTTCATAGTTGATACACATAGGTTCACATTCTTTTCTAGCTTTCTGACATTTGTTTTTTGAGCTGAAGGAGAGGCTGGTGGCTTGAATATACACTTGACTATACAAGAAAGACCATCTCAGAAACTTAGATGGTTTTGGTTTCTCTCAGTAAATCACTGAAGAATAGAGTGCATACCAGTAATCTTAGCACAGCCTAGTTTATGTGCAGAGATGCTTTAGTTGTTTTCTAGAAAATCTGTCACCATCTTCAATTACTTGGTGGCCCCTAACGAGGCCAATTCTTGTTTTCCCCATATTAATATTATATTAGGCCTCCACATTAGAGGTCTTGATATAGAGATGGCTCAGTTTCTGGGTAGGTAAGATGAATAGTAATAATCAAATTTCATATCAAGCATTTAATTTTACTAATCTCCTTCTCAACATGGATAGTATATTCATTGTCCAAAATTTAGGCTGATTTTTTTCTGAGGCCATCAGTATATCCTCTCTAGCCTATATGTAAAAATATATGACAATTTCAAATAGATAATTATTCTCAAAAGACACAGAGTTATAGTTACCTAAAAATGTTACTGATTTATTTTTTCCATTTTTATTTTTTAAATTTCTGTGAGTATGAATGCTTAACTTTATAAATCAGTAGTTCTCAGCCAGGTATGATTTTTGCCCCTAAAGGGGATATTTGATAATGTAAGTAAGCATTTCTGATTATCACAGTTAGGAAAAAGGGTGCTATTGGCATCTAGTGGGTAAAAGCTAGAGATGCTAAGAAACATACTGCTGCTAAACACACAATGAACAGGATACCTCCCACAACAATTATCTGGACCAAAATACGGATAGTGCTGAGGTTGAGAACCCTTGTTATAAATGAATATTGCAAGGGAACACAGTGAACAGCCAAAGACAATTTTACAGTATTAAAATCTGTGAAAGATAATATGTGAATACATGTAATGTTACAATATGTGCTTAGTAAAGAATTATTTCATAATAAAACTAATATGTTTATTAAACTAAAACGGTGAAAATTAATCAGTCCCTTGTGACAAAAGTATATATAAATTACATATGGAATTATATACAGAGCAATTTTATCTAAATAGGAAAAAATTATTTCCCCATGCAAGTCATTGTTATAGATAATGCTCTGTTTGAACATATTTAGATCTCATAGCTGCATTTGGAAAATAGAATGGATTCACAAAAATGCCATAATAAAAATACCAAGAGAGCTGGTACCTGAAATTTTTTGATTTCTCCTCATTTGCTGAGTCCTAGTTTGGCCCACATGTATGCATTCAAGAAATTTTATTTTTCTTTAGTTAATTTGCCAAGAGATTATTTAATTTTATTTGGTGGGGTTGTGGGGAGGGTAGCTTCTATTTTATTACTGTGTTGTGGTATTGGTGATGTTTCTTAATGAGAATTTGAATTAATACAAATTGGTGAATTGTATTCTTAAACTCATAAATGGAATTAGCATTTTTGAATGGAAACTGTATGGTACAGATGTATTGTTGAGAGTGTTGTAGGGTAGAATACTGTGGACCCTCAGAGGCAATAGAAGAGGAAATGAGACAGAGTGAAGCTGAAAAGTGAAGGTTACTGCTTTTGCCTTTTGTTGTGTATCTTCTGAGGCAGGATCATATCTCAGGACTGAAGAGCTGCACTAACTTATTAGCCATGGTTTCTGACTTCCTTGGTCAAAATTTTTAATTACATACAGTCTCTTTTTTTCTGAAATTTTTACTCCCTCTCCTATTTTTGATACACATTTTTTCGTAATTGATAATAAATAAGAGTAGAAATTAGAACTGGTTGTGATTTTCCTCTGCTCTTTCACTCTTACATTCTGGTCATCCTCTTTCATCAGCTCTGTCTGTTACATGAGAAAGATCTGCACTCTCTATGTCTAGTTTTCCATTCACAGTGGATCAACATTTTTTCATGGATAATCTATATCCAGTAAAATAACAGTACATTTTCACTGGAGGCTTGTACCTCAGAAATATAATTCTACAATTCTTTGACCCAGGGTTTCCCACAACATTGCTTTTGTCAACTAAAACAAGGCACATAGAAACTTGAGTCGTTCTTGAGAAACTTTCATAAAATAAATTCTGCTTACTTCTGGTACCAAGTAATCAGGTGAAAAATGCAATGCAAAGGCACCAGATATGTGTGACATAGAACGACTTCTGAATGGTTCAATATTAAATTTTATTTAATTTTTTGTGTATTATGGACACACAAGCCTTGAAAGATGTGCTGGAAAGACTTAGTAACATTTGTCCTCTCTTCTTGGAGCATGTCTCTCTCTTCTTCTGTCATCCTTAGATCTGCAAGCAGCAATGAGTTCCGGGTCTTATGCAGTAAGCAATCCTAACTTCATATTCTTGGCACTCATTTTTACATCGACCATTACCCTTTCTGCACTCTCTCCTCAAATCCAAGCTACCATACTCAGGATATCTCTTTTTGGCTGTAAGAAGGAAAGAATGACTGAAATTAGCAATCTAACTGTGATACAACTGTGTTTTAAAAGGAGAAAGTCTAAAAAGCGAAAGATCATAGAGTTGAAAACCTTTACCTATTGGAGAAAGTCTAAGTGAATTTACTGTTACTTGGTGCAAGGTACATCCTAGAAATCAGGAAGTATCTTGAACCTAAGTCAGGTGTTCCAACTTGCTGTCTTACAAGTGACTGGGCAGTGACTCAAGGAAAGTTCCCAAGGTCAACAGTAAAAAAGTGACCATAATTTATCTTCTGTCAGGCTTCATCTCTACAATTATCTAACTGTATTTAGGCTGCCCCTTTTTCTACTCTCACAAACATTATTTAGACTGAATGTTGTACTTTATGATTTTTTAAGGGATTCCACCGCAGCTTGATTTTGTTTTTCTAAAGTGTTAAGAGTTAGGCAATGGTAGGCAATTTGTCTGAATTCCCGCAACTCTGAATATTTTGAGATTTACTTTCCCCAAAGAAATTATCTAACTTAGACATGTGTCTGATGACAGCATTAATCAAAAAAAAAAAAAAAAAAAAAAAAAAAGAAAGAATAAAATGGGCGAGACTAGAAGGTACAACCATTGTTGGCCATTACATGATTTCTAAATTTGCTAGTGATGTCTTTTTCTTCTTTTACCACAAAATTTTTGAAATAACAGTAACTTAAAAAGAATATCTCCCAATCATTGTGCTGTAAATCCTCTTTATTGAAAACCAATAAACTATGATAGGGGGGCCAAACCCAGCCTAACACCTGTTTTTGTAAATACTGTAACTTTATCGGCGCAAAGCCAGACACACTTTCTAAACACATTGTCTACACTGCTTTTGCATTAAAATGACACAGTTGAGATCATAGGCTTCTTGAAACCTGAAATATTTATTATCTGGCTCATTTCTGGAAAAATTTTACTAACTACTGCTCCTGAATCCTTTTCTCCTCAATCATGAAAGAACAAGTGAGATTTGTAGCTGGGGTCAGGAAAATGTTCTGATAATATTTAACAGGCTGTCACGTAAAAGACATTTGTCTTTTTCAAGTCCAAAAGAGTACAACTGCAACTAAAGTTTGCACATTATAAGAAATACAAAATTTGGCACAACAAAAATTACATTGTATAGTCAGAGCTCGAAGTATAGGTACATGTTTTGTTTTGAAGCTTGGAGATTGACTCTCAGTAGAAGTTTATTATTTAGGGGACTTGGAGGTACTTGGGGGTTTGGGGGATGTTGGTCTGATAGGCTATACAACATTTTCCAAGTCAAATATACTTTGATGGTATATTTTCAATTTTACCTTGTCTTATGTATTTTCAGAAATTCTCTGTTTGGAGCCTTTCTTGTATACCCACTGCATTCTCTAAGTAATCACACTACTCATATAGTAAGATTAAGGAGAACACACTAGTGGAAGTATTCTAAGTTTTGGAGGTGACTTAAATGTTTTCATATATAAAGCATAGATGAAAGAAAGTACATTTGTCTACTGTTTTCTCCCATTAAGTAAGGTTTGCTGTTCCAATCAGTCCCTTTAAAGACTTTCTGCCTAGACATTCTGTCTGCATTTCCAATAGTTGAGAAATGGTGGTGAGTAGTGATGCCTATTGGTGACTACATAGACTCAGACCTACAATACCCATGTTGGTGGTATAAACAGCTGTTATAAAACCTAGTTATTCTATTAATATTGGCTCTCATCGCACTATAACTGAAGCAATGCAGAATATGATGAAACTTAAAGAAACAAAAGCATAGAAGAAAGTATAGTTAATTTGCACAATTTAAATGTTCACTTCTAAATATCATTACTTATTACACATTTTCTAAGGAGTTATTATAATGAAACCCATATGTGATTTGCCAGTGATAGAAACCTGATTTATACTCACTTTAGAAAAGCATTATGTCACATTTGACACTGTTCAATATTTCACCTTGAACTGACCTCACCCCTTTCCCTATTCATTCTGTGTCTTATTTCACCTTTCCAAAATATTACTGTCTTTTTCCTCATTCTACCTCTAAACATGTCCCAAAGCTTGTGTTCTTCGATTCCCAATAGTCATCTTTGCAAGCATCCAGCCACACATTCAACTAGTATCTGTTAATTATACTTCTTTTCAAGCTCTATGTCAAACTCTAGGAAAGAGTTTCTGACCCTAAGCCATATTGACCTTTTGGGTTGGAAAATTCTTTGCTCTGGGGAGCTGTTCTGTGCATTGTAAGGTATTTAGCAGCATCCCTGGCCTCTACCCACTAGAAGCCAGTGGTACTAGTTGTGACTATCTAAAAGGTCTCCAGACATTGCCTAGTGTTCCCTTGGGCTCAGTCACGCCTCACTGATAACCACTAACCGCTGTTTTAGTAATACTGTGATAAGCCAAGCAAATATCATCTCAGCCCGCAGATACATTGTTCAAACACTAACTTCTCTCTGAAGTCTCTGCTGATCTCTTTCAGGAAAGTAATCTCTCCCTCATTTCTCTCTCATAGCACTTTGCATGTATCACACATATTGCATTATACCATTCTAACATGATAGAGAATTTTTTCAAATATTTGTACAAAGTCACTCTTCATATATAAGCTAGAACTGGACAAGATGTTTCTCAAAATAAATCTTCAACCACAATTTCTTTTTATTTTCACTCACCTGCTTTTTTATTCTTTAGGCTGCTATTAACCTTTTTGAAATCAGGAGAAAAATCATGACTACACTTTCAACCCAAATCTATACTATCCTACCCTCGAAGTACAGGTTAGATTTAAAGAAAAGTGATTATTGGCAATAAAACATTTTTCAATTTGGCAAACAAAGTGAAAGGAAAGGGATGAGGAAATAGTACTCCATTTCTAGACTTCCTGTGCATTTATAACCTCTAGAGAATAAACAATGAATAGAAATTCCCCTGCACAGAAAATTTAAGAACTTTCATGTAAACATCTTTTCATCTGTAACTGAGTGTGGAAAAAAATGAATTTTCCTACCTCAAATATGAATGGGAACTTTCATTATCTAGAAGACTGAAGATGAGATGCAAAAAAAAAAAAAAAAAAAAAAAAAAAATTGAGGAACTCTCAAAGAGTCATACATAAGACATTATTTTTTTTCAGTTTAGTTCAAATTCTGTATGTTAGTGAACTGTAAGGTGAAAGACACCATTCTAAATGCTTTATAATATTTTAAAAATTTATATAGTCCATATCACACCTCTTCTAGTTTTGTGGAGAAAATATGTATTCTGATTTCTTTTTAATGTGAGTTTTTTTGTTTGTTTGTTTTTTTACTGGTAATAGTTCTCTGAAGGTTTGGTCCATGAACAATAAAAGAAGACAATAGCCTGACTTTGAAAATATAGAAAAAAATATACAGAAATGTATTAACACTGACGTTGTATTCTATATCAGTATATCCACCAAGTGGCTTATAATTTCTAAATCTACAGGGCAAAATGATTTTTAACTTTGCTGAATAAGTGCATAAATAACTTTAGTTAGTAAGAGTACCTCATATAGCTGTTATAAATAGTAAGCTAAAACAATTAAAATGTTTAGCATAGTGATTTATTAATGTTAGCTATTGTTAAAATTAGAAGAAAAAGATTTACTACATAGTGAAAGCTGTGTGAATTATTTTTGTCCCAATATGGAGTTGGAATAAAATCCAGAGATCCTTTTTGAACAATTTTGAACAATTTTGAATGAAGGGAAAGGAAGTTGTTCTTTTACTTAAATTAACTGCAATACCTTGTTACTTTATTGATGTTTGCCCCAATATTGAATTTTATTTACTTGCAGCCTTTAAATGATAATTTATCAGTTTATTGTGGTGTGAATTTTTAGATTACTCAAAATGAAAGAATAAATTAATTTAGTCTCCAGGCCTCTTAGGCTTAAAAAAATCAGCCTAGTACTGAAAAGGAGTATTGTCACCGAAAGTTGGTGAATATGAGTCTGATTTCATTGCCACTATCAAAAGCTGGGTAGACTAGAGCTCAGCTTTTCACCTCAAGCTGTTTAAGAGGAAGGGAGTGGACTCAATGATCTCTCCCTCTCCAGCACTTATTCTATTTCTGTGCAGTTCAGGAGAAGAGAAACTTGTTATATACCTGATGTGAAGGAATAGTCCTTTGGTGGTGGTGGGGGGGGGGGAATTTCACCAAAAACATAGCTTGTGTGCAAGGTATACTTACATTCACGTGATCTGTAGTATTCAAAGACAGAAGGCAGTGGCAAAAAGTTATTAAAGAAAGGCCAACAAGGGATATAATTTGCCTGCAGTACCAAGAACAGAATACTAAGAAAGGATTTCTACAAATGGGAAGTAGTCTATTGGCACAAGTTTAAAAAAATGGAAATGGTAAGTAGATCTCTAACACTGAGCCATTTATCCCTTACTAGTTGATTATGTTAAATAATATTTTTCCAGCAAGGTATAGCATGCATCAAGAATAGATTTGGAAAAATTTTTGCTGGATGAAGGTGATGGAACCAATGCAATGATCTCATTTTTTTTCTTTTTATTTTGAAATTATTTTACATTTACAGAATAGTTGCAAATGTATAGAGGCCAGATTCTCCTTTTGGTATATCTCACATAATCGTGGTAACATTTATCAAAACTAAGAAATTAATATTGATGCAATACTGTTAACTAAACTACACATTTTTCATATTTCATCAGTCCCACTATTGTCTTATTTTCTGTTTTAGAGTTCAGTCCAGAATACTGCATTACACTTAGTATAATAACCTCTTAATTCCTATGGCATTTTCATACCTTTTACCAAGAAACAACTACTGTCTCCTCAAATTCAGTCAAATTGAATTCATTCCAATTCATTCAAAATATTTTCATGTTACCTGATAAAATTGTGACCCAAAAGAGCAGAAAAAAGAAAAAGAGATGAATCTTCATGACAAAGAGTTTCTTAAGAAAAAAGTGTCAACAGATCTTTTTCAAGACAGGTGCTTTTGAATTAAGGAAACAAACAGGAATCCCTTTCATTTATATATTCTCCTGGGAAGTGGTTTTAACTACTGAAGCTTATCAAAGGATGAACATTTGCATGCTTGGTTGAATAATGCCACTTTCAAAGAACATGGTCCCAAAAATATTGTTCAATTTTTCTCATAAAAGTAAAATGTGCTCGTTTATCTTAAATAGACTTCCTTGAAACTCAGTCTTTAAGACACTTTTAAAATAAGGGATATGTGTTTGAATTGCTAAAACATCAAGATAGAAATGTTACAATAATCTGATCCTCTATTATATGTTATGTGTATGTAGTGCTAAGTATTCTAATATCCCTAGTGTTAAATTGTTGAATATCTGAATGTACAATTTTAATAGCTAGAAGTTTTCATTGAGATCACTTTTGTTATATGAATGCAAATAATGAGAACCAAGGAAATTACGTGATTTATTTCAATTAATGTAATATGTAATTACTTGAGTGTAACATAATAAAGATATTCTGGATTCAGTAATGAGTTTGGGAAATAGTCTATGCAACAAATGTTTAAGTATGATTTATGAATTTCTTATAATCATCTAATTTCAAAATTCCAGATTCAATGTTTTTAATTCAGTTTTTGGAACTGAAAATAATGTCTGATCTAATTTGCATGTTTGCAAAGTCTACTATTTCATATATATAAGGAAGAGGTAGAGGTTTACCCCAGTACCCAGGAGCTGATGCTGTAAGGAGAAAATGGTTAGTCAATTCTTTCCTACTGCAGAGTCAAGAGAATTTCTAGGACACTGGTTCTTAAACTTCAGCTATATCCAAATCCACTAAAGGTCTTGTTAAAACCAGATTACAGGGTCCCACCCACAGCATATCTGATTTTGTAGGTCTGGAATGGGACCTAACAAATTGTGTTTCTAACAATATCCTGGAATGCTAATACTTCTGAAAGGGACCACATATTACTCTAGAAAAATTAAATTATTCATTCTATAAAACATAAAAAAATGAATCTCAGACTTAACAGAATCTATGGCACAGATTAATAAAGAATATCAGGCTGCTTAGAGATTCAAATCAGATCCTTTCATGTTACAGGTGAGGAAAGTGAGATCAAGAGAGATGAACTTACTTGCCTAATGATTGTTATCCTTTACAACAAATGCTTCATATTATAAAATACATATGAAAACTTTGTACTTAAATCAGAAGTGGGAAAATTGATTTAGTTGTTTTCTTTGTGGGAAAGAAAAAAAATTGAGAATTTAGTATCAACTGATGGGAGGAAGACCACTTTAATATATCACTGTATAACATTTATTAAACAAATATTATTGAGCACTAAAATTCAGAATTTAGTTATTAATTTCTAATTCACTCTGTTGTATTCAGAAAATATACAGAATACTAAGGATTTGTACCAATGGGAAGTAGTCTATTGGTGTAGGTTAAAAAGAAGGAAAAGGTAAACAGATCTTTAACACTGAGCCATGTACTCCTTATCAGTTGATTATACTAAAATAATAGAAAAAATATCCATGCAAACATTAACCACAATAGAACTGGACAGACTATATTAACATGAGACAAAATAGACATTAAGGCAAAAATTGTTGCTAGAAACAAAAAAGGACATTGTTTAATGACAAAATGATTAATCTATCAAGAAGATATAGCAATTATAAACATTTATATGCCTAATATAGGAGCCCTAAGATGCATAAAGCAAAACATGACAGAATTGTAGGGATAAATAAATAGACATTTAAAAAATAGTATCTGTAGACATTAATACCCCACTTTCAATAATGGATACAACAACTAACAGTTCAGTAAGTTAGCAGAAAAAATGGACAACACTATAAGCTACCTAGACCTATACAGATACCTGTGGAACATCCCATAGATCCAAAGCAAAATACACATTCTTCTCAAGTGAACATGGAACATTCTCTAGGATAGCCATATATTAGGTCACAAAACAAGTATCAATATATTTAAAAGATTGAAATTATACAAAGTATTTTTTCTCTGACTCCAATGAAATTAATTAGAAATCAATAACTGAAGAACAATTGGAAAATTCACAAATATGTGAAAAGTAAACAATATATTTCTAAATAACCTGGTTCAAAAGTCAATAGAAAGAAAAACTATAAAAAGATTGTACACTATAATCAAGTAGGATTCATCCTAGGTATATAAAGATGGTTCAACATATGCAAATCTATAAATGTGATACATCATATCAACAGAATGAAAGAAACAAAATATGATCAGTTCAATAAACATAGAGAAACCATTTGATAAAATCCAACATCCCTTCATGATAAAAACACTCAACAAATTAGGTATCAAGGGAATGTACCTCAACATCATAAAGGCCATATATGATAAACCCACAGCTAATATTGTACTGAATGGACAGAAATTGGAAAGTTTTTCTCTAAGATCTGGAACAAGACAAGGAAGCCCACTTTCCACACTCTTATTCAACATAGTACTAGAAGTTCTAGCCTGTGCAAGAAGGCAAGAGAAAGCAGTAAAGGGCATCCTAATAGGAAATGAGAAAGTCAAACTATCCTTATTTGAGATGACATGATCACATACATAGAAAATCCTAAAGACTACACCAAAAAATTACAAAAAATTAATAAATTAATTCAGTAAAGTGGCAGAAAGCCTTCCTATGTGCTGACAATGAAATAGCCAATGAAGAAATCGAGAAAGTAATTCCATTCACAATAGCTATCAAAAATAAAATACCTAGGAGTAAATTTAACCAAGGAAGTAAAGGACCTCTACAATGAAAACTGTAAGACATTGGTGAAAAATATTGAAGAAGACACAAATAAATGTGAAGATATTCCATGTTCATGGGTCAGAACAATTAAAAACCCTTACACTTAATAGCCAGTGATTTTTGACAAAGGTGCCAAGAATATACAATGGGGAAAGGACAGCCTCTTCAACACCTGTTGCTGAGAAAACTGGATATCTACATGCAGAAGATTGACACTAGACCTTTATCTCTCACCATACACAAAAATCAACTCAAAATGGATTAGAGACCTAAATTTAAGACCCCAAATTATGCAACTATGAGAAGAAAACATAGAGGAAATGTTACATGAAATGGTAGCAGGCAGTGATTTTTTGGATGACACTACAAAGGCACAGGCTACTAAAGCAAAAATACATAAATGGTACTACATAAAACTAAAAAGTTTCTGTACAGCAAGATACACTGTCAACCAAGTGAAGAGACAACCTACAGAATGGAAGAAAGTGTTTGCCAACCACACATCAGGCAAGGGGCTAATATCCAGAATATATAAGAAACTTAAATGACTCGACAGAAAAAAACTGCTGTGGACTGATTGAATTGTGCTCCCCAAAGTTCATATGTAGGAAGCTTGATTCCCTCTGTAACTGTTGAGGGTGGGAAGTCCTAAAACTGCTGTGGACTGATTGAATTGTGCTCCCCAAAGTTCATATGTAGGAAGCTTGATTCCCTCTGTAACTGTTGAGGGTGGGAAGTCCTAAAACTGCTGTGGACTGATTGAATTGTGCTCCCCAAAGTTCATATGTAGGAAGCTTGATTCCCTCTGTAACTGTTGAGGGTGGGAAGTCCTAAAACTGCTGTGGACTGATTGAATTGTGCTCCCCAAAGTTCATATGTAGGAAGCTTGATTCCCTCTGTAACTGTTGAAGGTGGGAAGTCCTATTGTGGTAACTGAAAGGTGGGGCCTCATAGAGGTGATTAGATTGTAGGACCATGCCATAATGAACGGATTAATAATGGTGGTCAGAGGCATGGTTCTGAGGGCTTAAAAGGAGAGCACATGAGGAGCTCTTTCTCTGTGCTCCACTATTTTCAGTCATGTGAGACCCCTGCATTGCTGTAAAGCCACTAACAAAGAAGACACTCACCAGGTGTGTTCCATAGACTTTTGATTTCCTAGCCTCTGAAATTGTAAGAAACAAATTTCTTCTTTTTTTTACGAAGTACCCAGTTCCAGGTATTTTGTTATACTCAACAGAAACAGACTAATATAAAAACAAATAACCCTCTTAAAAATTGAGCGATAACCTGAATAGACACATCTCAAAAGAAGACATGTCAATGGCCAATAGGCACATGAAAAAATGCTGATCATCACTAATAATAAGGGAAATGCAGATTAAAATCACAGTGAGATATCCTCTCACCCCAGTTAAAATGGCTATATCAACAAGAAAAAAAAATAACAAATGATGAGGGGGCGGATGTGGAGAAAAAGAAACTCTACTACATTTCTGGTGGGATAGTAAATTGGTATAGCCACTGTGGAAAACGGTATGGAGATTTCTCAGAGAACTAAAAATAGATCTACCCTATGATCCAGCTACCTCTCTACTGGGCATACACCCCAAGTAAATGAAATCAATATACCAAAAAGACATCTGCTCTCCCATGTTCGTTGCAGCACTGTTCACAGTAGTCAAGCGAAGGAGTCAACCTAAATGTCCATTAACAGATGACCGGATTTAAAAAATACTAAGTTATTAAAAGAAGATATCTTATCATTTGCAGCTACATGGATGAAACCAGAAACCATCACGTTAAGTGAAGTCAGTTAGACATAAAAAAATAAGTACTGTATGATATCATTCATATGAGGAACCAAAAAAAAAAAAAAAAAAAAAGTGGTTCTCATAGAAGTAGAGAGTAGAATAATGTTTACCAGAGGTTGGGTGGGGAAGTCGGTGGGGGAGAGGAGAAGAGATAGACTAATGGGTGTGAACCTATGCTACTATGCTATCTACCCTAAATGAATCATTGTGCAGTATATGTATGTATTGAAATAATGCATTATATCCCACAAATATGTGCAAAGAAATGTTAAAATATTTTGAATAAAAAAAGATAAATTAGAGTATTCTTAGGATGAATAATAGCAAAAATACTACACACCAAAACTTATGGAGTACAACAAATGCATATGAAAA